TGTTGGAATCACCCATACGCCAGGCGTATCAGACCGCTTCTTGCCTCTAACTGTAGTGACACCTTTGTACTTAGATTGTGAAGTTACCACTAGACATTTCTCGAAGTGACACCTTTGTACTTAGATTGTGAAGTTACCACATTCTAGAGTACCTTCCCTCGCACTAGCTTTGGTTGCTACTGAATAATCATTTCGATTTGTACACCGATCTTCGTTTCACATGGAGCCAAGAAGTGTCAAGTCACAGGGATTAATTGGACAAAACTGTGATGGCATGAAAATGACTGGTGTATGTCTGTCAAAAAACTATAGGAACAAGTTGCGCTTCTATTGAAATCCAGTCGCGTGGCGGATGGTATCAAGAAAGCGATAATTGCCATAATACGTGAACTCCACTCGCTACGTGTTGAAAGCGCAAGGCAAGAACTCGTTGACGGTCGTGAGGACTTCTTTCATGATTCTTCAATAAAAAATGATATCACTTATGTACAAGGCTCTCATTTGTATCAAGCCACTTATATGGAATCACCACTGCCAGATGTAGTAGTGGTGCCTTATCAAGAAGTTGAGAGGCAACGTTCAAGGATCGTTATTGGAGTACCAGAGTTGAAGTCATCAAATCCCAGAAATGGTGATTCATATTATTGTGCTGGTGTTTGTAATATTCTTTTTTTTGAATGCAGAACGTAACCCACTCAATTCTATGGACTTTATGGGCCTCGAGTAGGTAGGGATAGATTACTGAAAGTTGTTTTGTCATCTAATACTTTCCAACGTCTTGCATTGAAAGGAGCCTCGCGTCCGCGCTATTTTACAGATAGAGGGGTCTACATAAGGGAGTCCCTTACTCCAGAAGAAAGAAAGCGTAGGTGTGAGTTGAGGAGGGCGAGAAAGGGATATAACGTCATCTAAAACGCAGTCCACTGTCAGTGATGGTTTGTGTCATGGACCGTCGTTCATGATGTTATTTAAAACCCGCCCCCGGCCTATTATAGGAGCGCGGATGGCGACGTTGAGTCAGTTCCTCGGCCGAATCTGTGCTCGGGAGGCGTAAGCTGCTCACGCTAGCGCGGTGGCGGTGATCGCTCTTCGGTTCAGCCGTCAGACTGTTACGTTGGAAATCCTGGCAGACTCGCTTTGGACGTTGTCAGGTAGAAATTTAAGAACCTCGAGGCCCTTCGACGACAAGCGTAAGTTCAGACTTGTGACTCAAATTCCTTATTCCTAACCACGTTGTAATGTATTGTAGTTGTGATTTGGGTCATTGTACGATTGTGGAGTCTATAAATCAAAAGGTAAAAGGAGATTTAATGAATCCAGGAGAACCACCAAACTGACATTTGGGAGTGAAGCCCTAAAACATGGTGCATCGGCGAAACCTATCAAACTCCCCCAACAACACTATTTATTAACATGAACTAAATCATTTCAATATTAAATACTCCTTATATAAAAAGAGACGATCTCGGTAAAAGATCGATTCCTTGCTCGAATCAGATATCAATGGGCAGCAAATCTGTTCGAATAAACACAACCGGAGCAAAGAGAGTCTCTGAAGCTTCAGAAGCGAACATTTAACGCACGTGCACAATTTTTCATAAGGTGAGCTTTTGGGGGCCTAGAGAGCGTATCTCGACAAGTACCCTCGCACGTGAGGTTCAAAATTACGCGATCTCATTATTTTTTCCTTTCTCTCAATTTTTCACAAATTTCAAGAATTGAAGTCGACTAGTTTTTACCGCGGGAAGTGTCACGTTGAGAAGGTAACTCGAAAAAATCCCGGTGGCAGTCTGACAGTCTGGCCTAGAAATGAGGTACCTTACAGTTTATTTTTAGCCGGCCTGTGTTCTTTGTATATATCGTACTTCTTGTATGTCCCGCCTTTTCTTTATAACGATTTTGGAAGGTACTTCGTGACCATTTTTGCTCGTTACTTCGTATGATACGGTTAGAGAAGGACATCGATCAAGAATTTTAACGGATGGAACATCGAACGAATTCATCAACTTCCTACGCTTAATCTCTTCTGACAACAGAAGAAAATGAGTTCCATTATCGTACTATTTTTTCTTCAGCTTCAACCGAAACCACTTTTATGCCATAATGCTCCCTTTCAACTTCATCTTGCAATTCCCATCGTTTTTCTTTAAGCTGGAAATTCGTGAGGAAGTGAAGCGATTTTTGCAACCTCAAAAAATTATATTTCTGAGAGTACAAGGAGAAGATTTCAAAACTCCAGTCTTCTGAAAAATCATGAAGATGAAATCAGTGGACATCTTTTCAAAACAAAAAAAGGGCCCTTGAGGAACTCAAAACGAAAGCACCAAGATCACAACCTCTCAAAACATCCAAGCTCAGCTGTTGAAGATTCTCAAAACATTCAATCCCCGCTGCTGGAGACTGAACACGATCTCAAAACAAAATACATAACAACAAAAGGAACTTTATTTGGTGAAGAAAAGATAAGAACAGTCCCGCATATATAACCGAAGCCAGGCATTCCTCCTCGTTCTGGCAGTCTTTGTCGACAGTCACACGCACAGCGCGCCAAGAGACTCAGTGCATCGCAATCCAGCTTCGGAATGTCACAGCAGCCATTCATCTTGAAGACTGCTAAGCAAAGATTAAGTAGACAACTTAATGCTCTAATAAGCTGTTGAAGAGTGCCATACCTGAAATCGAGCACATAATAGCCGACGCACCGCTGACGTCAATAGAACCCATCGATCTTTCGATGACCCGAAAGAGTACTCATTAAAAAAGCACAGATAAGTGGTCGGCAGTATATCTCGCGAAACTTAAAAACTTGCAATTATACACGGACGAAAATGGAGAAATGAGGTGTCGAGGAAGAGTTCAGGCTAAGCATTTAGCGAAGGAAGCTCAAGAGCCCATCCTCCTACCTGAAAATCTCAGAAGCTGTTTGAGAAAGTGTCTGATTTGCAAGAAATGGAATTCAAAACCGTTTTTCTATCCAGACTCTCCACCTTTAAAGCAAGCACGAACGGAACCATCACGGCCGTTTTTAAATGTCGGCAACGACCTCGCGGGTCCATTCTGCATGATCAACAGCGAAAATGGAGAACTATAGAGGTGGATTTTGCTTTTAACATGTATGGTAACAAGAGCCACACATTTAGAAAATTGTCAATAATTTAAGTGCAGCAGAATTTATAAATGGTTTATGGCAATCTGTGGCGCGAAGAAGTAAACCAAAACTCATAGTTTCCAATAATGCGACAAATTTCGTATTGGGATGTGAAATTATTGAAACATTAAGCGATCGGACTGAAATTGCTGCTCAAAGAACTCAAAATCATCCTTCAGACTGAGAAATTGAATGGAAATTCATCACACCATTATCTAATTGGAAAGGTAGATTCTATGAGCGCATGGTGGGAGTAATGAAGTCCACTCTCAAAAGAATAACGCGCAAGAAATTCATACGTGAAAATGAGTCCACTACTGAGATACCAGAATGTGAAGCTATGGCCAACTCAAGACCGCTCACATACTCTCGCAGTACAAGTGAGGATTCGGTTATTCTTCGACCGATCGACTTCATCATACCATATGCGAATGTAAACGTTTTGCCGTCGGTTGACCAAGAGGAAGAGGATGCCGAATACTTTGCGAAATATTCAACGAGAGTAGAAACGATTCAACTTTTTCAGAAACACCTAGGTTACTTGCAAAAGTTGTGGGAGTTCTGAACTGACAATTACTTGTTAGAACTACGGAACTTCCATCAAACCCGGATAAATCAAAATAGCTTTTCAAAAAAACAACGTGAACGCCGTTGGAACGCAATCGACTGCAAATTGATCAATGACACTGGGACATCGTTGGCTCATGCTTGCATCAGTAGCGACCCTTTGCACAAGCACGCAATCGAAGGAAGACAAGGCGAACATAGAAAGCGTAGTTCAACGCGCGAGAGGAGGAATACTAATTCAAATACCGGAGGTTCAAGATAAAATACATGTATGTGGGAATGAGTACTGCCTGGAAATAGAGAATCCAGATCGAATTAATCGAATTATAAGAGTTCAATTCCCTGCGGAAATTACGCTACACTCTTACCACGTACTAGTCAGAACCTTACTAGGGAATCCCACGCAAGCGTTTCGCTGGGCCTGTTCAGCTGCAGTATCGTCCCACCACTCTCCATTGGGTGCTGTAATTGTTTCAAGGGTACTGTAGCAAAAATTTACTGTGAATTGGACGTGCAGCAAGCACATGCACAAGTCCTGGCCTAGGCAATTCGTCCTGACTTGTACAAGAAAAGGGGTCTCAAAACGAAATAAGACTGTTCTTCAATAGAGCTCGAGCAAAAGAAAAATGTCAATGGAAGTGCGGTTCCCAATCAACGATAGTGGAAATTCAAGGAGCATTGAACCACATAATTGGCATCAATCCAATATGGAAGTATACCAGAATCTTTAATAACCATACGGAAGACGATGATTCGTTCACGATCGAATGGAACTTCCCGAATTTCGCTCACCTTTTTGAAGTATGCAAAACATCCTACTTGTATACGGTAGTGGTTCCCATCAGCTTCTCATGGTTGCTCGCAATTAGCGTTGCTCAAGTAGAACAAAAAAAATCCAAGGCAGGCGTTACAAGCGTCAACAAGCTTCCCTTTAGTGCTGCCATTCAAGTGCGTCCTGCTCGTCGGTCTTATCCTTTTCAAGAAGTTCTCTCATTTTGTCTATTTCTTCATAACACTGCCATTAAAGATACTTCGAAACATTCTCCAACGCATTTGAGATTCAAACCCTTCTATTTTCTCGAATTTCAAGTTCAAATTTTACAGATCAATTCGTACGGAGACAACAGTGACGGAAGAAGCACCTTAAATGGACTTTGAATACCCCAGTTTCTTATAATGTCCACTTTGGTTCCAAGAAATTCTCGATGATACTACACGCATGTGTCACATAAACCTCGCACATTTTTACGTCAGTATCAAAGAAATAACCAATACTAATTAAGAAATGGCCGATGATGGGGGCATTCGTGAGCAGCAGGACGAAGTGCTTATGGAGCAGGACGATGCGGCAGAAAACAATGAGCAACCACAACAACAACAACAAGCTCAAGAAGCTCCTCAAGTTCAACAACTTCAACAAGGAGAACCACGAATGAACAACGACCACCAAAAAATCCCACTCATGCATAGGAAAATTCAACGCATACTAGGACGCACGGACGACCTCAGCTCGATGTGACAGCAGGTTGATAATACACATCGTAAACTCCGCTTGGTGGAGCGCCGGACATTCACTCTCAAGGAGATGTTGGAAGAATCGCTGGACGGCTTCACACAAGTATTCAAACTTCAAAAGCAAATAATCGCAATGCTCGAAGATTTAAGGTATGTTCCGAGTCGAGAACCACCTCTACAATAAGGGTCAAGCCGTCAACAACCTCAACAGCAGTCATCAAATTAATGTGGATTCTGCGATAGCTCAGACCACTTCGCAGCTGATTGTGAGCAGTGCTTCACTTTACGTGATAGAAGTTGTCGGGCAACCAAGAGATTTCGTTGTGAAAGATATCTTAAAAGAGCTTTTCATCTCGCAACTTCATGTTCTACGGAAAAGGTATGCCACTATTGTAAAGTTGCGAAATGAGGAAAAGAAATGGTTAAGCAAACAGTGCCTTCTGCCCACACAAGTTTCCGCTGGAATAATTACTCAGTTAGTTGATTTCAAATTATTCGAAGTTTTCAATTTCTTCAAATTTTCTCAAGTTGCTTAACCAATGGTAGATTTGGTTCAATGCTGAAGGTCAATTTTATTGTTGGTAGATTACGATCGATTGTTCGATTTGGTGTGGCCGATTTCGATTTAAATATATCAAATTCAACAAATGCATTTTCCTCGGCTGTATAATTCAAGTAAAATCACGTTTGATGCATAATTCTCTTTTAAGCAGCCGGAAAGTGTTTTGAATCAAATAAAATTCAAAAAGAAGCAAAAACAAAAACAAAACAAATCTCAATAAACATAATAATAATAAAGTCGAAATGGGAAACGCGAGGATCTTCCGGGTGATGGCAACGACTCCGTGGATCACTACGATGGCGGCACGATATGGAACGACAATCGAAGGAACCCTTAGTGATACTTCGTCTTTCGTTTGATATGAGTTGGACATTCTGTGTCTTCGTGCATTTAAATCTATATCCGCCCTATCCTTAAATATGGAACTGTTATTTATAGTCCACATAAGAAAACCCTTATTAGGACTATTGAGAAGGTACAAAATGACTTCACTAGGGAGTTATTGATTAGAGTTCATGGGTATAACTAAATGACTATACCTCACAGTGCTATTAGAAATAAAATGCTGGGCTTACAGTCACTTGAGCAAAGAAGGAAGCTGAATGAAGTACTTATGCTCTGCAAAATTCTTAACGGAAAAGTTTCTATTGATAAGTTTCTCGGGGAGGCAACCTCAAGGTCTATATCCCCAGACCAAAGACTTTACATCGATCTAACTTCTTCTGCAAACGTGCTGGCTTAGAATTTAATAGAATCGTGAAAAGGGTGATGTGCCTAAAACCATTGCTCAGTTAAAAAAACTTGCGACTCAACACTTCCAATGAGATCATGGTTCACAACTTATGTCACTTTGCATTGCATTTTCACGATGTGGTCAACTCGCTTTCAGTTTGCCAGTGGTTTTCCTCAGCCTTTTCAACGCGCGTGCCGTTACATTCAATTTAATTTATTTTTCACTCTTTCATTATTAATGCACCATTATGAATTGTAGCCTTAGTTGTTTTGTGCTTTGGTTAATGTTTTATCGCTATGGCTTCAAACGAATGTCTTGTGTAATAAATCAAATCAAATCAAATCAAATCGTCTTGTCTTGCGCTGTAGTTTTATGTGTGCAAATATCCTCATAATTAGAGTCATTAAAAGTCGTCTTCAATGAGTCATTAGAAAATCAATCTTCTATTCAATTTCAACGTTCCGCGAGGAGAGAGCAGAACAAAGGAAAGCCTGTCCATTTAGACTGTCTTCCTTTGCGCGGGAGTGTCATGAACCGTTGTTCATGATGTCATTTAAACCCCGTCCCCGGCGGATCATAAGAGCGCGGAAGGCGGCGTTGAGTCAGTTCCCCGGCCGAATCTGTGCTCGGGAGGCGTAAGCCGCTCACGCTAGCGCGGTGGCGGTGATCGCTCTTCGGTTCGGCCGTCAGGCTGTTAACTTCGAAATCCTGGCGGACTTGCATATGACGGTGTCAGGTAGAAATTCAAGAACCTCGAGGCCCTTCGACGACAAGCGTAAGTTCAGACTTGTGACTCAAATTCCTTATTCCTAACCACGTTGTAATGTATTGTAGTTGTGATTTGGGTCATTGTACGATTGTGGATTCTATAAATCAAAAGGTAAACGGAGAGTTAATGAATCCAAGAGAACCAAGAAAATTACATTTGGGAGTGATGTTCCAAAACAGATTGTCACCAATCGCCACTTCTTTTCCCAGACCCAGAAATGTACCTAGTTCCTCGGCTAACGTCGGGGAGAACCGTTAGATGTTTCCTGGGTTGTTCGTATATTGAGATTCTTTCATGCAGATGTAAGGTCTGTCTCTGAAATTGCTAGCTTTATAAAAAATCCTGCTGTCAAGTAATTATGATGTTTTTGCTTTTTCAGAAACCTGGCTGGAATCAAGCCACATCCTATCCTCTACTCTTGGGGCCGTTGTTATTAAATACGATGCAATTAGATGTGATCGTACAAACAAGCCTGGAGATGGAGTTATA